AGGCGAGCAACTTACACGTGGATGCTTATCCTCCTCGAGGCATTCCGGTTTGCACACCATTTTCTTTATTCTTATCTTTTTGAGTTGCTTCGTGCCTTTCCTTTTTGTTTTGTGTGCTTGTGGTAATTGCTGGTTTTGGTTTGCTATATGAAATTGTTAGGTCCTATTATTTGACTTTCTGTTTTGTATTGAAGCAATGAGGGCATTGCCTTATTTTAAGTGTGGGGGAGTCTATTCGGATTTTGCATGATTATGTGGTGGACCGGTCTAGCTTTAGGTTTTTGTTTTGTCGAGCATGATATTGGTGGATTATAAGTTGTGTTGATGAATGTTTGATGAAATTGGGAAGTTGTGATAACGAACGTGTTGGTCATTGCCTCGGTATTTGCTTGATTGCTTTGAGTGACATTTATCTGCCTTGTGAGGTTTTGAGCCTTACTTTTTCTTCTTGTGAGATATTGGTCGTATTCTTGAATGATTAGAACTTGCCTTGAGTTTGTTTGAAAGAAATTGATTAGAGTTTAAAATTGCGAAAGTGATTGAGGCGTTTTGTTGATTAACTCTCTTTCTGCCTTGTTCTTTGGTCCTAAAATTTATTCCATTAGTAGCCCTTTAAGCTTAAAACCTTTTCTTGTCAACCTAATGACTGATTTGTGTGATGATTGGGGGATTGGTGGCATTTCTGAATATGGTGGATATTAAGTTTCATTTTGTTTGCTTGACCAGTTAAAAAAAAAAACATGAGAGCTCACAGGACGATTCGAATGGATTCTGCTCCTCTTACTAGTCGATTCACGTTGACGGGTAATGAGCATTAGAAACTTACTGTAGGACATTTGGATGACCTCTAATGTTTAAACCCATAGAATTTTGTCCCTTCGACTCGTTCTTGTTCGGAAAAAGTCACTCTCCAAATGAAAAAAAAAGAAAGAAAAAAAAAAATAATAAGGTCAAGTGATGAGGTTGCAACTTGTTCTGAGCATCTATGAGTTGTCTGTGGAATGTTGGTTGGGTAGTAAGTGTTTTGCCTTGTTTATTCTAGATGAGTAGTGGAATACTTGAGTATCCTCGAGAACCGTAATCTTCTATTTGAGCTTCTTGTCCTTATATATTCGTACCTTTACCTCAGCCACATTACAACCCGTGAAGTCCTCTTGATTCGCATATTTTGAACTTTGATTGTTTTCAAGTAATTTAAATGATAGGCAAGCATATGCTGAAACTTGAATATTGACCAACTTTGAGCGTGCCTATCATATATTCATGCAAGAAAATGAGTGAGGTTTATATTACATTCTATGCATTTGAGAGTTCGTCATTTTGAGGCCAAGTTGATATTTGAGGCATATGGTCATACGGTCGTTGGAATTCGACTTGATTGAGTTAGGCATTTTGAAGCTCTTCTTATTTGAAACCATATCCATGCCCGTGTCTTGTTTTCTTTTCTTTTTGTTCGGGACGAACAAAAGTTTAAGTGTGGGGGAGTAGTTTGTCCCATTTTTGTTGCGTTTTTCTTTGTTGTTTTGTCTTTCTTTTTCCCCCATGTTAGGTCTTTTCGTCGGTTTTTAACTCGTTTTAGTGTTTATTGTGTGTTTCGTGCTATTTCGGTTTTCTGTGTGTTTTCTGTATATTTTTCCAATTTTTCTTTGTTTATTGTGTGTAG